CAAAAAAAAGGCTGCTTCATATGCGCCCACATATTTGATTCATATGCGCCCACATATTTGATTCATATGCGCCCACATACTTGATTCATATGCGCCCACATACTTGATATGGATGTGCGGCATTTAAAGCAGACGGCTCTATGTCCGTAGTTTTCTCTCATTCTAGTGTTAGCTGGCCGGGGCTGAAAGCCGGTCTCCATATAGACATCAAATCACATGAATGCAGCTCGGAATTCACCAATATGCAACCAGTGCAAGTTCCCGACTCTGACCTGGTATCAGCTTCCGTCAGTCCCTGTACAGCAGAGCTCAGACTGGGAGAGGAAGAAGCAGGACAAGGAGCCAATCAGTTCATGCGCTGACAATGTGTGCTGTCGCGGTGACGGCGCTGTCAACGACACAGCCGCGGTGACAGCGCCATCAACGACAGCTCCTGCTCAGAGCGACTATCTCCCGATTAGCAGTCAGAAGCGCATCTCATTGGTCAGCGCGGCCAGAAGCGCTTCTCCTTGGTCAGCGCGGCCAGAGGCGCTTCTCCTTAGTCAGCGCGGCCAGAAGCCCTTCTCCTTGGTCAGCGCGGCCAGAAGCCCTTCTCCTTGGTCAGCGCGGCCAGAAGCCCTTCTCCTTGGTCAGCGCGGCCAGAAGCCCTTCTCCTTGGTCAGCGCGGCCAGAAGCGCTTCTCCTTGGTCAGCGCGGCCAGAAGCGCTTCTCCTTAGTCAGCGCGGCCAGAAGCGCTTCTCCTTGGTCAGCGCGGCCAGAAGCGCTTCTCCTTGGTCAGCGCGGCCAGAAGCGCATCTCATTGGTCAGCGAGGCCAGAAGCGCTTCTCATTGGTCAGCGAGGCCAGAAGCGCTTCTCATTGGTCAGCGAGGCCAGAAGCGCGTCTCATCGGTCAGTGCCGGTACAAAGTAGTACCAAAGCCAAAAAAACTTTCTCTTTTTGGATAGCATAAGGCCCCATTCACACTGAGCGATATATCAAGCAATTTTTGCAGCGATAGCGCTCATATTTCCACGCTATATCGCTCTATGACGCTTCTCCAATCCATTTCAATGGAGCTGTTCACATCTCGTCGATCAATATCGCTTGTAGCTCGTCGCTTGTAGTTTGTCGCTCCTACATGACCCTTTTTTCGAGCGATATTGCTCCTGATTGCATACAGCCCAATAGGAAAAAGTAGCGTGATGTCGCGCGACAAGTGGCGCAATATCGCTCAAAATCGCGATTTTCATGTCGCTCAGTGTGAGTGGGGCCTTAGGGAAGGTTATAACTCCATCAGCTTTTTTTTTTGCCAACCGTGTCCCATTGGGAAGATTTCCCTTCACTTCCTGTTCAACAACTACAACAGGAAGTGATAGGAAATCCCTCCAAAGAGAGGGAAATGCTTGGTGGTCAGTAGGGTAACCAATGGAAGTTTTCCTATGTATTCCTGTTCTAGTGACAACCCAAAATTTGGGATCTTTTTTACTTTCAGTGATTCACCAGAACAAAACAGAGGGTGTCTCCCTAACAGGGACACAGACAGCAACAAAAACCTGACAGGGGGTCCAACCCCTCTCCACTCCATCCAAAACTAAAAAAAGCTGCACTTTAAGGTTTGTTTAATCTTCCACATTACATGGTGCTATCCCCGGATGTTGGGAGTTGTGATCTTTTCATTATTTAGGTTACTTTGTCTTTGAAGGAGAATGTGGGAACATCTGTACAATGCTGACATGTTGCGGGGCTTGGAGCTCAGACACAGAACTGGATGTTTACATGCACAGCTGAGATCTATCACTAGAACAGTATGTGTGCGTGTGTGCGCGCGTGTGAGTGTGCCAGCTGGCCGCAGGACCCCGGTGCCCATGTATGACCCGTGCCCCCCCCACCACTCACCCTGGCCTCGTGTGATGGGGATCACGTCCTTGGCAGAGGGAGAGCTGCAGTAGATCTTGCCTTCCTCTATGTGTCCCTCCATCTCTGTGAAATCCTCGAAGGAGCAGTTCACCCCGGCGGAAAGGTCAGGGACATTCCAGGCTTGTAAAACCATCTGCAACACAGAGGAGGGGGGAAAAACATGAGACCTGGAAGCGTGCTGCGCGGCCTGTTTAACCATCCAGTCATGTGACCATTAAATGGCCTCACGTCATTGGAAGACTGCTGGCCAAACTCGCTGCAGACAGACAGACAAGACAGGCACATCTATGATAAATGAATCCACTCAGAAGCGATATTTCAGTCAAACCACCTTTGTGCTCATGTTTCCGTGTCCGCAAATCTTCTGCTGGGTTCTTATGTGATTTTACATGATGGGATGCAAAAGACCCGGAAAGGCAGTGCGATATGCCGACAGGCGGGAACAAACACGGACAACGGTAATGAGATGAGTTCTTAAAGGTCCCTTATATGCAACTTCACTTCTATGTGGAATATCACTTGTGGGTGGAGCCGTCCCTTTAAAGAAGAACTCCATTCAGCGCTATTTATATCCAAGGCAAACATCCGCCGATATCATTTCATTAGCAAAACTCAAAAAGTCCCAAAATAGTTCACTGCCGAGTGGTTTCTCTCTCCAGTGACCTTAAGAATGATGGCAAAGTATCAGTTCTGGGTGGACTGAGGGTTTAAAACAGGTTCTTCCAGGAACTTCCACTTATCAATAGAGGAAATTCAGCTCAATAACTTCTACTGAAGAGCTGGAGGGTGTGTGAGGCCTGAGCCCGCGCTGAAACAGACTGTGGGCCTCCATAGTTGCCTACGTCATTCTATATCTATGGCAGCAGTTGGCTAGTTTCAGATAAGGGTTCAGGCTACACGCAGCCCTCAAGCCTAGGCTACCCCCAGCCCTCAAGCCTAGGCTACCCCCAGCCCTCAAGCCTAGGCTACCCCCAGCCCTCAAGCCTAGGCTACCCGCAGCCCTCAAGCTTAGGCTACACGCAGCTCTCAAGCTTAGGCTACACGCAGCCCTCAAGCTTAGGCTACACGCAGCCCTCAAGCTTAGGCTACATGCAGCCCTCAAGCTTAGGCTACACGCAGCCCTCAGGTTTAGGCTACCCGCAGCCCTCAAGCTTAGGCTACCCGCAGCCCTCAAGCTTAGGCTACCCGCAGCCCTCAAGCTTAGGCTACCCGCAGCCCTCAAGCTTAGGCTACCCCCAGCCCTCAAGCTTAGGCTACCCGCAGCCCTCAAGCTTAGGCTACCCGCAGCCCTCAAGCTTAGGCTACCCGCAGCCCTCAAGCTTAGGCTACCCGCAGCCCTCAAGCTTAGGCTACCCGCAGCCCTCAAGCTTAGGCTACCCCCAGCCCTCAAGCTTAGGCTACCCGCAGCCCTCAAGCTTAGGCTACCCGCAGCCCTCAAGCTTAGGCTACCCGCAGCCCTCAAGCTTAGGCTACCCCCAGCCCTCAAGCTTAGGCTACCCGCAGCCCTCAAGCTTAGGCTACCCGCAGCCCTCAAGTTTAGGCTACCCCCAGCCCTCAAGCTTAGGCTACCCGCAGCCCTCAAGTTTAGGCTACCTGCAGCCCTCAAGTTTAGGCTACCCCCAGCCCTCAAGCTTAGGCTACCCGCAGCCCTCAAGCTTAGGCTACCTGCAGCCCTCAAGTTTAGGCTACCCCCAGCCCTCAAGCTTAGGCTACACGCAGCCCTCAGGTTTAGGCTACCCGCAGCCCTCAAGCTTAGGCTACCCGCAGCCCTCAAGCTTAGGCTACCTGCAGCCCTCAAGTTTAGGCTACCCCCAGCCCTCAAGCTTAGGCTACCCGCAGCCCTCAAGCTTAGGCTACCTGTAGCCCTCAGGCTTAGGCTACCTGTAGCCCTCAAGCTTAGGCTACCCGCAGCCCTCAAGCTTAGGCTACCTGTAGCCCTCAGGCTTAGGCTACCTGTAGCCCTCAGGCTTAGGCTACCCCCAGCCCTCAAGCTTAGGTTACACGCAGCCCTCAAGCTTAGGCTACCCCCAGCCCTCAGCTTACCTGTCTAAGTTGATGATCTGAGGGCTCATTACAAGCATTGAGTGCACATCACCCGCTCAGCATCTCTGATGCAAATAACAAGAGTTAGTTCTCTTCCTCCACAATCCCTATAAGGTCGGCGCTGTCCAAACTGGATGAACAGAACCCCACGGGGTCATATTTTCACACTCATCATTCATAACACTCACCGGGACCTCAGACATTGTAACGGAGATGTTCTTGGGCTGCACCATCAGCTGGACGCACTGCCGCTGGTCGGTGGTGAAGCGGTGAAGCTCGTCCGCCCGCTCGCACTTGTCTTTCCGGGAACACCTGAAACACACACAGAAAAGATGAAATAAATGATTCTGCAGCTCCCTTGAAACACCCCAATATCACCGTGTGCAGGAAATAAGTTTCTGATGTAAACCCGGAATTATATAATTATACATTTTATTATAAATCACATAGTTCCTCAAGCATCTGAAGAGTGAAAAGTGTCAAATCAATCATGGAGGTCCCAGGTCACGGCCCGCAGCGGCATTGAGACCATGCCGGACTGATAAGACAGCCACTGCCGAACCTTCCTGGTATGCTTGGTCATGTGATGCCAGCAACATCCCTTCTCTCCGGTCTGCGCCTTCCCATAGACCTCCGACGGCCTGAAACATTGTATTGTAGAAGCAGAGAGCGGCCATATTGAAATGAATGAAACAATATAATTTGTGGTCCGAGCCTGACCTTGACACGTGTGATTCCCTATGCCCCACCACCTGAAGTGTGCCTTGGCCGCCTAGGGGAGTATGCCTAAAAGGGGGCATACCTGGTGACATGAAATAGAAAAAAAGGGGTATGGGATGGTGGGAACCCGCCGATGTACGAGCATGGTAAGCCGTGCTGTATTTAAGGGCCACAGTCCGTGTTACGCATCGCACTCAGAGCCGCTGCTCCATCAGATATGAGTGTGAACGGGTGGCTTACGTCACAGTATAAGAGATGGACACCGGCACTCCAAGGCAAGTCCAGTACGTCTGTTTATTCACGTACTTGTTGCATATCCAAACTACCTCCTCATGTATAACTGGCTCCTCCCCTTTAGATTGTAAGCCCTCAGGGGCAGGGCCCTCCTTACCATCCTGTCTTGAATTGTATTGTATTGTAATGTTTTCCTTATATTGTAAAGCGCTGCGCACGCTGTAGGCGCTATATAAATCCCGTACAATAATAATGATAGGTTTCAGGATCTCATAGGATCCCCTTCATCAAGCAAACAAGTGACGTACTGGATTTGCCTCGGGAGTGCCGGTGTCCATCTTTTACTTGTATTTAAGGGCCAGTCTCCTCCTACAAATCCAGGCCAGCCTTCAAACGTATGCAAAGAGGAATACAAGGAATATAAAGGGTATATAAGAACTGCAGCATTCAATGTAGGGCTGCAACAATTAATCGACTAAGTCGATTATAATCGATGGTGGAAAACGTTGTCAATGTTTTCCATCATCGATTAGTTGAATTTCAATTAGTTTGCCTTCTTGCGGCTCCCCGCACGCTACTTCTCCTCCCGCCTCGCGCCGCACTACGCGTCTCCTCCCGCCTCGCCACACGACACTGACTCCTCCCTGCACGAAACGACTCCTCTCCGCCTCACGGACTCGCTGCACGCCGCTTCTCCACCCCGCCATTTGGACTCGCCTCACGCACACAGAGCAGGCAAGGGAGGAAGGCAGCTGCCAGACAGGCCCACAATCTGCTCAGGTAAGCCTGCACTCCCCCCCAGTCCCCCCCACGGTGCTCGATGATGTATTGCTGGGATAGTGGGATTTGTAGTCCTCTATAGCTGATGGTACATTGCTCTCTATAATATATACAATGTACCATCAGCTATAGAGGAATACAAATCCCAGCAATACATTATACACTGTATGTATAATGTACTATTGCTGGCATTTGTTGTATTCCTACATAGATGGTGGTATTCTGCATTATACAGCGCAATGCAGAATACCTCCAGCTATAGAGGACTACAAATCCCAGCAATAGTACATTATCTACAACGCAATGCAGAATACCACCAGCTATAGAGGACTACAAATCCCAGCAATAGTACATTATCTACAACGCAATGCAGAATACCACCAGCTATAGAGGACTACAAATCCCAGCAATAGTACATTATCTACAACGCAATGCAGAATACCACCAGCTATAGAGGACTACAAATCCCAGCAATAGTACATTATATACAGCGCAATGCAGAACACCAGCTACAGAGGACTACAAATCCCAGCAATAATATATTATAGGGCTCAATGGAGAACACCAGCTATAGAGGACTACAAATCCCAGCAATAGTACATTATAGTATAATGTACTATTGCTGGGATTTATTGTATACCTCTATAGCTGGTGGCATTCTGCATTGCGCCGCTGTATAATGTACTATATTGCACACCACACTTTTTTTTACTTCCACCGCTCCACGCTTGCTCCCGTGATGGACTACAATCTCAATACAAACTAGTAGTCCATCACTGGAGCCATTTAAAAAAAAAAAATCAGATTAATCGAACTTAATAATCGGCTAACTAATCGATTTTGAAAATAATCGTTAGCTGCAGCCCTAATTCAATGATATAAAGGATTGTTTGAATCCGTGTGATCAAAATGACAGGTCCTCTTTCCTGGAGGCTGTAGAGGTACGGATTTTGTGCTAATAATCTCTCCCTCAGCCCATAATGAAGACATTTCTCTCTCTCTGGCAGCTCGGCTCCACAATTATTTATATTTATTCCTCACATTTATAATTTATTAGGGAGAAGCGGGAAGATGATATACGGCCTCATAACAGTTGGAGAGACGCGGGAAGTCTGGCGAGAAGGCGGCCGCATAAAACGCGACTTGTCAGCTATTATTCAGAACAAACGTCAGATTTGGGGGCCGCTGACCCGCACGCGGAACCCTTTGCTGTGGAAAGAGGAAATGTTTCGGAGTTCCGTGGTCAAGCCGGCCAACTTAATTGGCTCTCCAGACAGCGTTTAGAGGTGAAGAGGCAGCGGGGAAGGTGAGAAGGACTTTCCGTCACATGCCAAGCGCTCGGCAGGAGAGCTGACAGCTGAACGATCCGGCGCAAGACAACAGAGGAATGTAATACCGCCGGACTGACAGCTCTCCCGTCCCAAAAATCCGACGTGATCCCTCGCTCACGCCACGTCCGCCACATGTAATCTCTGCCAGGCTGGACACTTGAAGTGCGTCCGCTTGGCGAGACTGGCAGCTCCGTACCTTGGGGGATTATCAGCCCGCGGACCTGCCAGACATGTCCGACCGTCACTCAGCGCAGAGAAAAAAAAAAGACCCGGGAAAGTTCCATTACCAACACACATATATATATATATTAAAAAATAAAAATATTAAAGATGTTATAGGGACCCATGGAAAGCCGGGAAATAGTGGCGAGCACTTCTGTCCTGCAGCACTGGGGTCTTCGGTCTGAATCCTGGTCAGAACACCATCTGCATGGAGTTTGCATGGGTTACCGGGTACTCCGGTTTTCTACCACACTCCAAAATTATGCTGGTAGGTTATTGGATCATGTTTAAATTGAATGTGCATATGGATGCGAGATAGGGACCTTAGATTGAAAGCTCCTTGGAGGGGGGGGCAGGGAAT